GGAGGGTGGGGGTTCGGGGAGTGGGTGGATGCATCATGAACACCCCTGCTATATTATCCATCTCCATCGACTCTCCTCCCTGTGGAAGAGTTAGTGGATTAATGCCAGCGCTGCCTGCAGAAGATACTCATTCACCAGCAGTTAAAACGATATGAATCTCATTAGTAGCTGTGAGGATGAGCTGTATCAGAGCCCGTGGTTACCACACTGTTCCTGCAGCGCCCCCTTTGTGCAGATAGGGCCATTATTATACCATCCTCCTCACCCCCCTCCACCAGGTTCACACGTTTACATCAAAACCTCCAGTGGATTTTACACCAAAACTCTGTTATTCACAGGTGTGCCACCAACAGGGGTCGCTGCAGCGATAGGCTACATAGTGACCCAATGGTCTTTCTGACACACAGCAAGCTGGGTTTTAGGGACGGGGTGGTAATGAATCCAGAACCTTCTGTTGGAAAGTCAGGGTCCAACCAGACTTGGTTCTGTACGAGTTTCTTGTTGGTTCTGTCCGTTTTTTAAAGTTGGAGATTCAGACTTCATAAGTTTGTCCGTTTTTAAAAGTTGGAGATTCAGACTTCATAAGTTTGGACGTTCTTTTCAGCTTTCTTTTCAAATCATTTCCTCAAGGTTTGTTTTTTTTTTTTGACAAGTACATATGAAATATGTATACGCAATTCACTGAGACCTGGGAACTGTGTTTGGTTCTTATCATGTTCCATGGTGTGAATGACGACGACACCTGGTGGTTTGTTCAACAAACAGGTCGCTCCAACTTGTCTTCAACCCTTCACACTCTTTGGGCTTCAGGTAATAACTCTGTGTCTGATCGCGAAAGAAAACATGGACACGTCAGTGTCCTACAGAGACGCACTGATGCTTGCGTACGCACACACACACCGACACACACCGACACACACACAAAGAGTCACTTATGCACAGACTCCATTGATTCTACAATTTCTCCGAATCAATAGCAAACACATTCAAACCTAAGGGAAATTTACACCCACTCCCTCTAATGACTTGCATGTCTGGGTAATGTTTTCTGCAGAAATCGATCAAACAAAAACTAAATCCACATTTGCACCTACAGTCGCTGCTAAGCCTGATTTGTTATAATGCAAACTTTAGGTTGTCACTTTGGCTCAGACCATATTAAATTTTCATGTCTTTCTGTGCAGCCACTCCATATATTCTCTGGCTCTCTCTGACCTCCTAGGTTTCCTTCCCCTCTATCTGCAGTCATTTGGGATTGGCATGAACAAGATTTTCATATCAGGTAAATGAATATCTTTATCACACAGGCAGAGGTGGGGATGCTGTGGGAGCTGGAGAGAGTAATCACACAGAGCAAACAGTTCTGGGGGAAACAGAGAGGCACTCAGTAATAACAACTGCTCTCGGTCTCCCACACAGCCTGTGTGTAGATCTAAACAGCTTACTTACTGCAGCCGACGCTGTGGGACGGGCGAGTTTTCTGCGGCTCAGCGTTGACCCTTAACTTTTGATGAGTCTGGAAGAACAAAAGGCACAAAAAAAGAATGAAGAACATGAGAAAAAAAATATTCCTGGGTAAAAAAAACTAAACTAAACAAAACGTCCTAGAGATTTAAAGTCATGCTACTGCCATGTTTTGAAACAGCGGTTCCAAAAGTGAGGGGCGGGTACCCCTAGGGATCGTGAAACTATCGCTGCAAGTCAAAAAAATGTCAATATTTTCTTCATTTGGGGAAACAGCGGCAAAATTGGTGTTTGTCCTTTAATTTTTTTTGTTCATTGAGAATTTCAGTTTTACAGGAATTAAAGAGTTTTTTCTGTTAATTGTGAATGTGTTAAAAATAGTTCAATAGTTTAAAAATCTCGAGATTAAAGTTCTAAAAATATTTTCCCTTGTGAGAATTCAAAGAACAAAAAATCGCCATGAACGTGGAGTGTAACAGGCCACAAGACTGAACAGGAAGTGAGTTTACCACTCTGAGGCTGGAGCCAATCCCAGCAGAGTATTCTAGGGAGGTCCTCGGCCTATGATGTCTTTGACGACGTTTCGTGATTACAGTGCCATCGTCAACAAATTCAGTAAGAAAGTCTTGTTCCGTCATTTCAACGAACAGCGTTAAAACTCAGCGTTAGTACACGGCGCTATAAACGTAGGACGGGTTTGTTTACATTTGAACAGCGTTAATACTCAGCGTTAGTACGCGGCACTAAAAACGTAGGACGGGTTTGTTTACATTTGCCGATGGTCCGCTGTACATTGGATTGTGCTACGTATGTTTTCATACGCTTGTGTTGTTTGTTTTTTATTTATTTTTTACTTTTTTTGCTCTTCATTTTGGTTCTCAAGTGTAAATCAGACTCTTCTGATGTTTTTACTTCCTAGATGATGATGTCACCTCTGTGTTAGGTTGGGCGCGTGATGTGTGTACAATATGTGAGTTCTGAATTCTAAAAATTAAGTTACGTCGCACTGTTGGAACAAAACAGATGAAGTCAAAGAATATTTACTAACAGCCAACTCGACAACTCAAAAGTCTCTCTTTGAGGACGGTATAATCTGGGATTATTGTTGTGTCAGTAGAATGAGGCTAAAACAGAAAAATGCTAAATGCTAACAGTTGAATTTGTATAGTGAACAAAAAGTTGAATTTGTGACAGATATGTGTGAAAATAATGGAAGAAAAGTGATAAAAAGTGAGTCAAGAGTTAAAAAATTCTGCAGCTCACCAAGACGACACAAACTCCCGTCGACTCCAGGTGGGACTAACTAAGTTCTGCCTCCTCCTCCTCCTCCTCTGAAGAAGAATGTAAGAAAAATTGCACGGAGCTGCAGTGTGATACCCAGGGCCCCAGAGTGTCCTGTATGAAGATATAATTAAAGCAGCTTATATAAGACATTCTTCACACTTAAATGCTGGCTATGCAGTGATCTAAAAGTGGAGCATCACCCTAAAGACAGACTTACAACAAAGCACTTTTTTAATCATAGTCCCAGCAAAATTAGAAATGCTGTAAATTATATTTGTGTTCATGAGCAGCATTAGGGGAGTTTTATTTTATGTTTTTTTGTATAAACACAGTAAATGAAAAAAAAAAAAATTTGGCACGACTCAATCTCTTCTAAGGTGGAGTGCAGGGTAAAAAGCAGCCATCTCGTTTTTATTACAATGCCCAATAATAGTTGATTTAATGGCCATAAAAGGTGTTCATTAGAAGGTTATAGTGAAGAAATATTGAAAGTATACCTAAAAGTGTCACTTTTATAGTGAACATACAGCGTAATATCGTCTACAAAGGCTGTGATTATACTCCAGCCTTGTCCTCCAGCATTATCTGGGAGCTCATAAAGACATGAAATTTAATATGATGCTTTCAGTCAGTTTAATTGAATTTTAATTGCCACTTTGGACAGAAGGTTGAGATTTTAATCAATAAAATATTAAACTTTTGGAGCTTTTGACGAGGAATGCTGCTCACCGTCGCCGCCGCAATGCATCCTGGGATCCCGACACGGGCATAAAATAAAATAAATGCCTGTTTATGAGTGGAGGCGGCCGAGCCAACGCCGTGCTGTTTTCAACGGTGTTTCCACAGAATCCGGTGGATAAATACCAGCAGCAGAACAAGCTGAGGTTCCATTAATTACACTGGTGTGGAAGAGCGCTCGGTCACCTTCAAAGAAAAGGCCTTTAATGTGCCAGAGCTATAAATATTTTCAAATGTCACACCTTGGGAAGATGGCATCAGGACAGAGGCGGGAGGAGATAAATCAGAGGCTGAGAAGAAGCAGGAAAGAAAAGATGGCTCTTTGGTATTTTAGAAATAATTACTAATACAAAAGGAGTAATGAATGAAACTATAAATTACGTTAAAACAGACCATTAGGGGAGAGAATTAGTTTATAAAACTCGCCGCTGCTCCTTAAAATTACCCCCTTGGAATATTGTCCGTTTTATTGCATCCATAAATCACAGAAATAAAAAACATGTATGCATAATATCACTAACTCTGTTGATTAATGCTAAATTAATTGATTTTCTTCGGTGGCTTTTCAATGAGAATATTGTTCCTCTGAAACATCATTCACCAACATCTAATAATGCCAAGGCAATAATGTCCCGTGTCAACTTTTACAGCAGCTTCTAAAATCCACAGTGAATCTAATATTCTCTCTTTTAGGATTCGGGTCCAGAGATGTGTGTACTGTGTCTCATATGTAGGGCCAGTTACTGTCATCACCAGCAGCATATACAGTTATAAATCTGAGGCAGCCTTGGTCGGGCTGCCGCACGGATGGAGAAAATTTATCCTCCATCCCGTGGAGAGAGAGAGAGAGAGAGAGAGAGGGAGCCTGGGAGTGAAAAATGACACGGCCCATCCTCTAAGGCTCATAAAAGTCTAAATTAAATATCAAATTGAACCACTGATGGATAGCGTCCCCTCCGTGGATCCCGAGCAGCTCCTCAGCCTGCGCTCCCCCAACACGACAGGTGCTGCTCACATGACTGGAGAGCCAGACAACTTTGTTAGCAGGGATTGTTCTCAGGTTGGCGTAAAGCCGCTGTGTACCACAATGAAGAAGGCGGTGGAAGGGAACGGAACAAGGTGGCGTTATTCCTTCCTCACTCCCTGGCTTTCAGAGGATTCTTCAATATCACACTCTGCCTGTGCGGCTGAATGAGTAGGTTTTCTTTCAAGCAACTTGAAAGTGCAATTTTTCACGAATCTGAATCACAGCAGATATGATTCTCCCTATATCCATATTTATAAACTGCTGGTTCTCCCGTCCTCAGCAGAAGAACACTTCCAAAGGCTGCTGTCAGGCTGGAACACCTCATGGGGAAATGGTGTAATACTAATGCCAACATCGCTGCACAATAGCTGGCGCTATCGCCGGGCTAAAACTGTACATTATGAATCATCAATTGTCACCCTGCTTTGTATTATCCCCAGAGAAAATCCCAATCTGGTCCTGAGCCCACGGCTGATGGACATCCCATTATTCACTCGCGCTTCTTTAGCTCCACGACAGGAGTGAGGAAAGGCAGTAAAACCACGGCCTTAAGATTAATCCTCCGCTCTTTTTTTCCCCTTCCTCCTGCTTCCCAAATCAGAATGAAATAGAACATTCTCTTTCATAATCAAAAAGTTTTTATCATGTCCACCCTCCCCCGCCCCGCTCCCCCTCCACTCACACAGGAAGTGCGGATAATGCTCCTTCCAGGACATGACAATGGGAAATGTGTTGAGAGGGAATCTGCTCCTCTTGCCTTTTGTACTGTAACAAGTGAGGACAATTTATATGAGCTGGATGTCGTCCTTGAATACATGCATTATCTGGCTGATGATGCACCGTGCAAATCATGGTAAAGGCTTCAGATTAGTCCGAAGAAAAAGCCGTGATAGCTGGGTGGACTTTGGAATTAAGATAATAAGGACGCGTTCACACCGCAGCTGTTTGGTTCACGTTAAACAGATCAGAATTTGTATCCCCCCTTTTGTTTGAGCAGATATGAAACCTCATCTGAACTCTGATGTGGACAGAACAAATGAACGATGATGTTTTTCAGTTTACCTGCAGGAACATCCTGCTGTTATTTGGTTATAGTGGCAAAATGCAAACCGGCCATCAAGTGAACCAAAAAGAGGAAGTGAAACAAAAAGGAAACTGATGTGGAGTGCAATGCATTTGGGGAGGGGGGGCTTGTCCAAGCCAGCGGCCTGAAAACACTGAGAGATATTTTTATTATTTTACCACTAAAAAAAACCCCCACAGAGCCACAAATGCTACCACAGAAATAACTAGGGATGTCCGATAGTAAAGTAGTTGTTGTTGATTTCAGATGTGCCGATATTGTCCAAACACTTAATTTCCAATTCCGATATCAACCGATGCTGTATCTGTGCAGTGAATCATGTGCCATGCCCCCCACGCCCCACAGGGGGCAGACATTTTTTTCCTACTACTATAATTTGATTGAGGTTGACATGTAAACCGGTGGAGGATTGGTGAACTACCGTTCTCTGGACAGCTGAAGCTCTTTTATTTATTATTATAATGAGGGACACAAATGTACCTCACTACAGTGAAGACACGGTTCTGGACCAGCAGGTGGCCTGAGGTTTTCACAGCTGTGGGAAAAAACTGTTGATTTGAACAACTTCTTGACAAAGACTGACCATGATTAACTGGTAACTAGTTAAAAAAACTTCTTGACAAAGACTGACCATTATTACCTGGTAACTAGTTCAAGCAACAAGTGTGGATTTCATCGTCCACCTGTTCGTATTGTTTGAATGGAAAGTCATTGGTCACTGCTTATTCTGATGTGGTGGAGATGGTTGGGGTAGAGGAGGTTAGGGATTGGCTGAGATGGACACAGAAGACTTTAAAAACAGTCAGTAAGCTCTTATTGTTTTCTTACTTCTAATAAACTTGAACGGAACAACAGAATCCAAGGAGGTCGATGAAGGAGCGGCAAGGAGAGCGGAGGAGAAACCAAACACTGATGGTGTGAACGCTGCCAAATGACCTTCACCAGTGAATGAACCCTGGACACACCCTTCAATGAAATAACAACTCTACAGGAGCTCTGAGAAATAACCTGGTAGGTAAGGAGGTCAGAAGAACCAGGTGAGCTGTGAAGTTGTGGCTGCAGTCTCTGCGACTCTGCCTCCTCACACCGTGACTTCATCACAGCCTCGGCCCGCATCACTTAGCAGAGGGGTGTGAATTTGTTTTCAGCCGAGCGTTAATGAACTGTGGGCTGTGTGGCCTTAATGAGAGAGGGCTTCGATTGATCAAAGCTACCTGGAAGGAAGAAACGTCTCTGTGTCCACAGTTTGGGAGGTTGTTTTTCCTACAAGAGGGATGTTCATCGCTGACCCCTGGCCAAATCAGTGCACGTGGAAACAAGACTGCAGGAGGATTCCTCATCCATCAAGAACACGCCGTTTTGTGCCAAAGCCTCTGGCTTCCAGCCATGTCCAGAGCGACTGATTGTGCAGCAGCCAAAAGACAAAGGCAGCACCCCCCCCACACACACACACACACACACCTCCCTCTGCAGTGTGAGTGTGTGGAGGTGTGGGTGGTTATGCAGATCACTAATTGAACAGGCCACCGGGGGAAGACGGAGCGGGAAGGCAGGCTCTCTGCAAGACATGCCGAGGGAGGGGAGGGTCGGACTGGTGTGAGTCTGCCTCCCTGCTCCATCTCTCTCCCCTCTTTCACTCCCTCTAGCCTAAATTGGCAGCTGACAGGCAAATGAATGCGGTGTGAAGTGAGCCCACTGAAGTGCAGGGTCCTGCTGTTCAGGCAACAAAGGAGCTCCATGCGAGACATCTGCTGTTCAGTTATCAGAATACATTTAGTCACGTGCCTCCCTTCCCCTTGCTCTTTCTCCTTTGCTCTTTCACC